CAACTTTTAGTTGAAAGTTTACTATTAAAACTTGCAACTTCAATTTTTTTGAAGTTGCATGTTTTGAACTGGATTTAGTGCATATAATTTTAATGGGTTAATTTTTTTACACAAATAAATATTAATGTAAGTTATATATTAAAAATACTAACTATAAAAGTATTTGGATAAATGCCCCAGGCTCCTTTCAGAGTTCAGAGTAGAGTACTCCCTACGAGCATCTCTGCCCTTCATAAAATGACTTGGTATTTAATTTTGCTGGAGTCAGAGTTGGCCTACTAAAATTATCAGGAGTTGGAGTCGAGTGTTTTTTACTGACTCCACAGCCCTGGTTTTTATTACACAAAATTTTATAATACAGTGATTTTTAGGAACATACTCATTATGGTTTATAAAAGAAATGTCTGTACATCAAAATTTGATGTATTTGAGAAAAGGTTAACTTTTAATTAGCTTATGAAAATAAAATTGTAAAAGATTTGAAACTGATTTTTATTGGAAACTTTTTACTTACACAGTGCACCAAATAAGTAATGAGACAACTAGCATTACATCCAAACTAAGAGCTTTATTTCAATTTTGCAGTTACATGGATTCAAAATAATCCCCTTGCACCTCCACACAACATTTACATTGATCATACAAGTTGTTGAAAGAATGCTGGAAGTCCTGATTGTATACCTCCTTCAGCCTGTTGGTCACAGTACGTTTGATGTCCTCAATATCACTGAAACGTTTCCCTTTTAAAGCACATTTAATTTTCAGAAATAGAAAAAAGTCTGCAGGTGTCAAATCAGGCAAATAGGGTGGGTGTTCGAGCACACAGATCTGTTTTGATGCTAAAAACTGTTTCACGGGTAGTGCAAAGAGAGCTGGTGCATTGCCATGCAGAAAAATCCAACTGTTGCTCTGAAACAGATGCGTCCTGACATGACGCATGCGAGCAAAGAGATGTTGTATGACTCTTAAGTAGTACAGTCCAGTCACTGTTAGTACTGATGTACACACAATAACGCGACTTCAGTACTAAGTAGTACTGATGAAGTCACGTTGTTCATCTTTAAGGATTCTCTTCCATTCTTAAATGCTGAAAACCAGCGGAACACTTGTGCACGACTAAGACAATCATCCCTGTAAACAAGTAGCATGTCTTAGGAAAAACAGCATCAGAAGTTTACAAATTTACAGTAAAATTTTATCACAGCTCTTTGATCCATGATACTACGTTTGACTGCCGCTACTTGCACAATGTTACTTTCACGCCTGCTGTGTGTGCACTGGCTGAGTCACCGACATGATTGAAGAATCTGCATGTTCAGCACAATCTAGCTGGTGAAATGGTAACCACATTTGGTGCATTTCTTGAAAGTATTCATAGAAAAAAAATCAGTCTCATTACTTATTTGGCACACTGTGTATTACGTCAATTCTTTTTAATGTTATATATTTANGAGTAATAAGTTTCCTGAAAAATACAGTGTAAAATTTTTCTTGGACAAAATTATAAAAATTATCTTGATGAAATACAAGACTAAATGTTGTCTATTTATTTTCTAGAATAGGTCAGACATTTTTAATTTTGAATTTGTCTTTATTAAACTCTAAATCAAAAAGATGCAGTTCAGATTTATTTCTGTTTTTGTATTTTAAATAGAGCATTCTACACTATTGATTATTTTTTTAGTAAATATAGTTCTTTTACAATATATATCTATAATGTGTGAATTTGTTCACATATAATAGACAAATAGAGGAAAAAGTGAAAAATTGTGTTAGCTCTTGTGTGATTTTTTATAAAATGATAATATTTTATACAGGTAAATGCTGAAAGCACCACTTAGTTTAATGTAATTATCTATGGAAGAAACATTTATTAATAGAAATATTTATTACAGTATTCTAAAAATGAGTAATCATCCTGGCTATAGGAATTCAAATTGAAAATAACCTTGAATAAACTTTCATCTTTTGTTGTGAAGAAGGAAAACCATCATGAATAATGTTCCTATTAATAAAAGGAGAAAACAAACTTATGATCCTCTGCATTTGTATGAGATTCTGTAAAAATAAATGTTTTACAGATTTTGAGTAATTTTCCATGACACTGTTTTTCTCTTCATTGTTTTTATCAGGCTGTGGAGTCGGAGTTGGAAAAAATATGTCAACTCTGGCTTCCGCATTTTAAATTTATTTTAGTTTTTTTTATTTAAATGAAAGAAAATTTATTATATATTTATTAATTTTTTTAAATCTTTTGTTATAATTCATTTATATTAAATACAAAATGCATCAATTTAATTTATTAAATATGTAGTATGGAATAAAAATAGTAGG